CTTCATGCTCTTAGTCATGGTCACTCAGTACTTGAAAGTGATGTTGAAGCAGCAGAACATGAATTGGACCATTCTGGAACTTCACATTCTAAGCCTGAAGCTGGTCACACCTCTGATAATTCCAATGTTGAGGATGTTGTTTGTGAACATGACAAAATAGAAGAAACATGTCAGTCTGGAGGCAGAAATTCACCTCTGAGAACTTGTGAACCAGAAACTCATGTAAAACAGAACCACAGTGGTGATAGTGAAGCAACAAGTTCAGATATGTCATCTAAAACTGGAACTTGGTTGCCCGGGAGTCCCACGGCTGAGCAAGAAGTTTGTTCAAGACACGAAGTAGGTTGTCGTTCCAAGGTTTGTCCTTTATTGCTTCTTATTTAGTACTTATACAGTGGGTAAAGTTGTGGGGAGGTTAACAGGTATTTGAGAAATGCTGTGTTGTTTCAGGGTGTTACTTGAACTTGGGTTCAACTTCAATATTTATGTTTTCCATCCCACTCTATAAGGGGAAAAAAAGCACTTTGTGACCCCATAATTGATCAATTTTGTAAATGTAGGCAAAGCTTGGGTCATCACAAACTAAACTTGCAAAGTCCAAATTGACAACGTCTCAGCTCAGTGTTGTTCAGGCCAAGAAAAGCATGTCAAGTGAAGCTTCTAAGTGCTTTACAAAGAGGCCTTCTAAGAGTGATACTAATGCTTCAGTAAGATCCAGAAAGGAAAAGCAATTATGTGATTCTGCAGCTTCAGCAATGTATTCTGCTCCCAAAGCATCAACCTGTGAGGTAATTTTCTCTTGTTGATTGGATTACTACGAAGGTACTCTATAAAACAACCGAAATGTTCAAAAAAGTGCCGACTGTCTGCTACGTTCAAAACTCTAAATGAGGTTTGTCTTAAATGCTCTTTTTATTTGTATAGGTTTCTCAGAGTTTTAAGACAAAACTACCTGAAAACAAAAGGTATTTGTTTTTTTGATGTTATTTTTAATTCAGAACTTATGCTTTTGACTGTTTAGTATAAGAGAGATGCTTTTCTTTCAGCCAAAGCAATGCAAAAGAATCAACAACAAAAAAGGCTGTCAGTTCTCGGCCTTCTACAGCAGACAAGCTTGCCCCTAGATTAAGTTCTCGGCCTTCTACAGCAGACAAGATTGCCCCTATAATAAGTTCTCGGCCTTCTACAGCAGACAAGGCTGCCCCTAGAACACACCACAATGCAAGCAGGTTTGTGAGCAAAAAATCAGCAAAAATCCATTCTTTTCAACATTCTAGCTATTCTGGTTTTATATCTGTTTCTTATTCTTGTCTAGGCCAATGCGATCTGTTAATTCATCCAAGCAATTTATCAAATCAAGTGCTTCTGCTTTCAGCTTCAAAAGTGATGAACGTGCTGAGAAGAGGAAAGAGGCAAGGAAGATACTGTTTTGTCTATTCTAACTTAATTTAAAATAGCGTGCTGGCATCGTTTATACTTGTAAATTTTTCATGATTGCAAATTTTATTTCAGTTTAATAACAAGTTGGAGGAGAAAATGCATGCTAAGGAGACTGAAATGCTGGAAGTTAGAGCTAAAAAGCAGGTAATATGCCTGGGCAGGTCATTTATGTACTTTCTGAAACACTTAGATAGATTCCTCAACATTCCCAAAGAAAATGACTTTGCTGCAATCAATAAAAGTGATCTTTAACCAATAAGTTTGCATTACTTTTTTTTTGGTCTTATTTAGAAGAAAGAATATTTATGTAGTGTATGCTGTTTGACCACCCTTATATTTGTTTCTCATTTAATATGTTAAAATATTGCGTTTCAGTTGTCTAATATATCTTTCCTAGATGCTTTATTTGGTTAGTTTATGTTATTCCAGGAAAAGACTGAAGCAGACATTAAGCAGTTGCGCAGAAGCCTAAACTTTAAAGCAACACCAATGCCTTCATTTTATACTGAAGCTGGACGATGGTCGGATAAAAACAAGGTAAGCGGAGGAGTCAGCTGTACTTGGTTTTTCAGTTGCTTTTCTGAATATATTATGATATTTGTTGGCAGCAAATTGTATACTGAGAGATGCAAGTTGGTCACAAGTCTTATATTTGTAGTCATCCTAACTGACATGCCACAACAAGCATCTGTTTGCATGCTTTTTTTTTTTTTTGTTTTAAACTTGAATGAACATCCATATAGAGAACCCAACCTTTGCTTTTCATGACTTGAAATTGTTGTTGAAGTGCTTTTATTGTTTACTTCAGACATCCACCCATGCACTCCTAGTATTCAACTTTCAAGGAGAAACAAATATCAAAATGCCCTTTTGCATATGAGTTAAGCTCCTTTTTGCTTAACTGTTCGTTTTGGCACATGCAGAAAAGAAAATCTCGCGACATTGAATCGCCTATTGACTTCTCTGCTTTCAGGATATATTGATAGGTTATGAGATTTGACTGCTTTTGAATGATATTTTTCCCACTCTTCATATTAACATTTTCTCGTGACTAGTATGCTTCTCATATGCTGTAGAAGACTTCAAGTTTATTGCAGCATAAGGATGATTTATGAGACTTTGTAACTGATTATCTACTTCAGGTTTTAGCTAATAATGGAAAATCAAGTAAAGTCCAAAATATGCCTTCAAGCACTGCAATTGGAGCTACTGCAGCGTCACGATCATGTTCAAATCGGGGAAGCGGCCAAGCATGTTTTACTACTGAATCTGCAAAAGCAGTGAACTCACCACCACTATCTGGAGCTACCCGTTATCATTCAGCAGTCCGTTCTGAGAGAAATATACGTTTCTCAGATCTTGCAGCTAGTAATTGCCATCCTACTGCATCTGCAATAGGGCTTGCAGGGAAGGAAGACCAGGAAAAGGTCAAGCATACAAGTTTACAGAAAGAAAGAGCATCAGAAGCTAACAAGCTGAATAAAGGCCAGAAAGTCGAGGGGAAACATAAGGTGGGATTTGAGAGAAGGACGAAGGGTGTGATAAAAAAGGGCATTAAAGCTGTTGACCTATGCAACAGCTCAAGAATAAATAACCTAGCTGTTGGCGTTGCTTCCTAAATCGCTGAGGTTCTTATTTCCATCCATTTCTGTAGCCATCTGGAGACTTTATACCTCTCTGTTCAATGTTTCCATGCCTTCCAGTTCTGAGTACTGCAGTTGGCAAAATGAACTTTTCTTGGATAGAACAGTCGAACATAATCTGCTGAAGCAGATACCATGGTTGTGACTGCAACACCAACAAGATGAACTCTGAAGCGTAAAATTTCCGCTTGGATACAATCAAGTCTAATGTAAATGCTAGTTCCACACAATAGAATGCTTATAGTTCCTGCAGTTGGAGAATTTTCTACAATTTTAGACTTTGATCGTGTTACAACCAGAAATCCATGAAAATTTCCCAGTTAATTTGGTGTGGTTGCCAACGCATTTCTACTGAAAAAATAGTAGTGATAATAAAGTACTTGTGATCTAGAGCATGTTTGAGGCAGACAGGTTATCTAGAGCTCTAAGTTGATAAATACAAAGGAAGCAATCCGTAGTTGTTGATGTTTAGACGGTTCTTTGTATTTTAATAATCTCATAGTTGAAAGATTGCTAAACAGAAAGCTTTACTGCATCATGATGTAAGCAACTCTGAGCATTCAATATCACTTTTGATCCAAATCCTGTAAATGATGCAAGCAGAATTTGTCTTTTATAATCATTCCTACTCTGAACTCAGGATTTTTCATACTAAACTCATCATCTCATCTTTGTTTATATGTTTTTGACGGTGCAGATCAGCATTTTGCAGGCTAGCAGAGTTTCTTGCAGGATGTAGCTATCTTTGCTGCCGCTCACCGACTGTTTATTCATCACCTCATCTGCTACCTTGTGTCTATGTACTGCTCATCAAGATTCATTCAAGTACAAAAAAGCCCTTCACAAGTTCCACAACTTATCATCATAAGATGCCTCGTTTCTTGTAAACCATACTTAGAAAAGGAAAGCAATATACTCCTCTAGATCCTCTCTTGTTGGACTCTTAATGGCAAACCCGCATGTTCGGTTAAGCGATCATCATCCTCTTTAGATACTACTGTTTGTGATCAGTCTCTTTGTTATTTTTCTTTTTCCAGTTTTTGTTACTAATTGCAAATATTTGGACACCGTAATTATCAATTACTGTCCTGCATGTCGTTTAGAATCAATTGATAAGGAGAGCCTGTAAAAATCTGTCCTTGCAACTTCATCTAGAAACATGATTTTGATATTGCACCTAAACTCTATTAAATTCTCTTTTCTTTTCTTTTCTTTTCTTATTTATTTGAGAAATGCCCTTCTGATGAGGACAGTAAATTAGAAGATGCACAAAATTACACCATTATCTGGCTAATTGTGTCCAAATCTAACTTTGTTGTTATGTTGCCACAGAAGAGACTTATTACACAAATCAGACCGTGGAACTGAAATATCAGCTACCCCTTTTGGATGAAATATTGCATGCTAAACCAAAATTTAGACCACATAAAGATAAAGGATAAGGAACCATGAAACTTCCCTGTACTTGTAGCAAATAAGAAAAAGCTTTTCTGTAATCCAGATAGTGATTTTAATGGACACGTATAGCTTAAGATTTGCAAAAATTTGTTTGCATCATTTTATAAGTACATACACATGGCGTCTAATGCAAATAGAGATTCTTGGTGTGGTTAGAAAGTCTTTGTCATTGTGCCATATTATAAGGCAGGGGATAAATAAAAAGGGAAAAAACAAAGAAGTATCCACGTTACCAAACTTGGACGACTTCAACACTTTGGAGGCCACCAACATCTCTATCATGCGCCCTTTCTGATCACCAAAACCTTTGCCTTTTCGAGCAAAGAAAACAGCAAATTCTTGGATACATGTCAACAGTGAAATCATCACTATGGTAATAACAAATTAACAATCCTAGCTAGTAGAATATTTCTCATAACATCTAAGACCTTAGTTAATTACATCAAATTTGATGAAAACTTAGTGAAAAGCAGGAAATAAAGTCAAAACAAGAAAAGGGATGGTGATGATCATGGTTCTTGATGATCCTTGCAAGGTTGTTGATGAAGACTGATCACCATGAGGTGGTTTTCTATAGTAGTAAGGAAACCATGGCACGATAGGATCGGGAGGAGGCGGTGCTTGCCCTGTAACATAGCCAGGTGGAGGAAAATACGGAATAACTCCTGTCGGTGGTGAGAAAGATCCTGGAGGAGAAAAAGATCCTCCTGCTGGTGGTGATGGTGGTGTTGGAGTCGCTGGTGGATTGTTTCCGGCACCCGTTGGCGGTGGATAACACGGATATGGGCACTCTTGGGCCAATGACCTTGCCGAAAAAAGAAGAACTGTTGAGAGGAAAAGTAGGGTTGACAGTAGTTTTTGGAGGGTTGAAGCCATGTTGTGGAAATGATTTGTGTGAAGAAAGGACTGGAATATGAAAGAAAAGAAAAGGAGAGGAGTGAGGAGACTAGAGGGGGATGAATTGAATTCTAAGAAAAGGAGTATACCAAAGGTGTTGAGTTGGCTTAGAAACGTATCAAGTGTGGACCTAGGTTGGAAAAATCCTGAGGACTTTGTCACTACTAAAAAGAAAAAAGCCAAAGTTGCTAGGACTAAGAAGAGGATGGAATAAAGAGGTTCTTGAAGCTTTAGGCCCCTTTTGGATGTCTTTATCTAGCCAAGGTGGCTCATTTGTCCACCATTTGCAATATATTAATAGCTCTAGGCTTGTGCTTCATTCCAAATTGAGCGGCAGAGTTGTTAAGGCTGTTAGTGTTACCTAGACCAGTGAATATTGAGATGAAAAACTGTGGGAGTTTCCTAGATATGATTATTTTGGGGACCAGAAGGGAAGAGGTGACTAGAAAAAGGAGTCCTACTGAAAGATGCTAGAAGCACAAAAGGGGCAGTTTGAAGATTGGCTGAGGGCATTGTAGGTGGAACGATAGGAGCAATGTTTATTACGTTGGTTGAGCATTTTGAATTCAACGATCGGGGTTGAATTTGACAAGTATTTCCTAAGAACATATGAAAGGATGTTCTTGTTTTACACTTTTGTTAGAACATATTTGTACACTAATAATCCACATATTCACCATGCTATATGTAATCACTGTATTAATGCATATAAAGTACTCTAAAATTGCCAAATGTAACTCCCTTTGGCCTCAAACCAAGCAAAGGAATGTGGACAATCAATTTTGATCAGAACCAAATTAAAAAGTTTTTTTTTTTTTCCTTTTCTAGTTAAGGTGCAACTAGGTGAATTTTCTATGTGTTTTACACTTTCTATGTTCCGAAGGAAGATCAACAAGATCCAAGACAACATGGCAAATCTCAAACATCGCCATGATTTTTGACCTCAGCCTGGAGATTTGCAAATCAACATGTTTACTCACACCTGATCATAATTTCTTCCTTTCTTGTAACCTTATTCATTACAGACAATGAACTGATGAACCTAAAAAACTACAAGAAAAAAATGGAGTTTCCTCCCTACAAAGTTACAAGCATTAACCACATGGGTCGACAATTAAAGCTCTTCTTGATTCTTTAAGTTTATCTATAGATCTTTTGGTATATTGATTTCTGGTTATGAAAAATTTCAGGAAGTTAAAAAAAAAAAAAGAATTAATTTTCTATACTTATACACTTTTATTATTGGATGCATGACACATAATTCGAATTTAAATTTGAAATCCAAATTTTTCACATGTGTCGTGCATCCAACTGTCATAGTGTGTACACTATCAGTGCATATAAGATTTACTAAAAAAAAAAAAAAGAAGAAAGACAGGAGATTGACAAGATTGCTGGTGGAGCGTGCATTTGTTGACTCTTAAGAGGTGTGATTCAATTCAATGATCAAATTTGATTCTACCATACGCAAAGAAAGATTAGTCCCACAGCTGGATGGTGAGATGCCTGATGATTAAAACATGTGGGCCAAAATGATATTGGAAAAAACAAACAAATTGTTAAGCATAAAGATTTCTTAAGAAGATCAGTTGGTTAAGTACTAATCACCAACCAATTAACTTAAAACGCATAATGAGTTAAAAAAAGGAAGGATTAGTCTGTGATGCTAATGCGTTTTCTCTGATTAATTGGATGAGGAGAAGGTAGATTTGATGATTGCCTGTTGCCTATGTTTCATTATTGTTGTCAAAAAGACGATTGATTCTCTAATCCAATTTGTCTATTAGCTAAAACAGCTCCAAAGCTTATTATATATGCATTGATTCTTATATCCTTCTTGTCCAATTGTGATGTGGATAACCTAACGCTAATAGTTAACCATTTTTTTAAAAAAATAATTATTTAACCCTTAATCAAGATTTCCTTCAGAAAAAAAACCCTTAATCAAGATTTAAAGCTTGACCATGGAAGTTGAGATTGTCTGTGCAATAATAAACTCCTTTCCTTACCAACACATGAAAAAAGGTAGAAAAAGCAGCCAGAAAGTAGTATGAAGCTTTCCTTCTCTTCTTTTTCTCTTTTCTCCTTGGAGAAAAAGGGCAAAATTCTGAAAGTTGTGTAGGGCTGAACGGAAAAGCAATGGATTTTTTCCAAAGACAGAGAACTTGGAAAACTTTTTTATATTTGATCAGATCAACTAGAAAGTGAAAATAAGTAAAAGTGTAATCTTGATTACCTAACATAAAGTTTACTCTTCCTTGGAAGTTCCACTTCAAGTTTTTGTTTCCCTTTGCCTTAACATCAATCTGAAAGTAAGGGTCCTTGAGCAGAAAACCTCTAAAAAGGTAAGGGTTTTTCAGCTGTTAAAGTTACTTTTCTGAGGCATCGAGCCCTGGTCCTTGCCAGCATTGGTTATTCGCCATGGCCTCCCAAAGTAATAAATATATGATGTATTTTTTTTTTTAAAAGTAATGTGATGTATTCAGGCTTCGTTTGGATTAAGGAATTTGATGAAAAATCTGAAATCCTTCCAAATCATTTTAGTTGTTTAAATTATTTGAAAGATATTTGAATTTATAATTCATCAATTATTAAAATACATTTTAAAAACTATAATAATTTATGATTTACGAATTCAAATACCTCCTAAATAATCTAAACAATTAAAAGAATTTGAGAAGATTTCAAATCCTTCATCAAATCCCTCAATTAGAGAAATTTGAAAGGAATTGAGAGAAACCTCGATTAGAAGCTGGTTAATCAGGCAAATAGCAAAGCTACTGAGTAGTAAAATTAAGATGAATACATATAAGAAGTGATTAACTAATACCATGCAAAAAGCAATAAATACAAAATCCCTAGTTTAATCCCATTTTGTCTTATTTTCTAATGAAATTTGTAAGGCTTAATCTTTTCTCAAACTCCCATCCGATCACTCTAATTGCTTGTTCGCTATAATGAAAAGACACAGAAAATGTGGCCATAATTAGCTTCTTCCTCTTAATTAATGTTGGGACTTGGAAGGGCAACTTGGTAGAGTTTTTAAAGAAACTTTCCTTCCCGATCCCTGCATTGAGATCATTTTTCAACACCCCCCCAACCAAAAGCCCCCTTCTTTTCTTTCTCAAACCTCGAATTCCTAAGATCCTAAGATCAATGGGGAACTCAAAATGAAGCAGTAAAATTTTTGTTCCTGTTCTCAATCTTGTAACTATATGCCTTTAATTGGGCTGTGATTTAAATGTTGATGCTGAAAACTTGTGTGAATTTACCATTTCAATTGGGCATCTCCAATTTCCTTTGTGCCAACGTATCTTCTATGTTGGTTAGCACATAAGGACTCAAATACTTGTCTAGTGCACAAACCATTTCTTCATTAATGCAAGGAGGGGGGAAAATGGCAAAATTGAAAGCTTCTTCTGTTAATATGCACTTGAGGCTGATAAGTATGTAATTAGATCAAGAAAACTTCAGCATGATGGAGGATGAAGTCGTCAAGTTACTTGAGTAGATAATCAAGTTGGGCTTGAGTACTCAAGTATAGCTTAATCAAATATTGTTCATAATTCAGTGTGGGGACGACACAAAAGTTTCCTTTGGCAGGACAAAATTGTATAAATTTTACGAGGGCAACTTCACACTTTTCATTAGATTTAGGAGGATGAAATCTAAATCTTTGGAGATACAACTGAAATTCTTTAATTTGTTGAATTAAAAAAAAAGAGAATAGTTTCTAAATTTTTGAGGGTTTGGCCCCCTCTATGTCCACAAAGGATTTTAGTTTCTTTAAATATTTATGATTTAATTCCAATAAAGTCTCTTAAAAATGCCTCATTCTCACATTGTCCTCCTAAATGTTTAATTGAACAAATCCAACCCATTGCACTATTGTCAATCATGCATAATTGTGCTGGCCAACCCAATTTCAGGCTGAATTTGTTATGTACAACATATAAGGTTTTGTGAACTAACTAAATTACCCTTCGCATATTATATCATAATAAAGTTTTGAACAAACTTTTGAGTTAATAAAATAAGTTAAAATAAAATCTAGATAATTATGCTTAATTTATGTAAAAACTTCTAAACTAATAAAATATAAAGCCTTTTTTTAAAAAAAAATCTTTTAGTAAGGGAATGGCGGAATTTGAGAAGTGGGAAGGGAGAAAGAGGAAAAGTACAATATACTTAACAATCACATTTTTTTAAATACATTTTGCAGTTGTAAAATAGCCATAAACTTTAATTAAGATAATAAACCAAAAGCTGTACAAAATTAGAATTTTTAACAATATGGGTAACAATTAGATTGTTTTAGACAAATTTTTATCGAGAGTAAGTAATCTAAAATTTCGGTAATTAAGAGCTGGCAGATTAATTCAATTTTTTTTTATAAAATCATGTGTGTTGCACGTGACCTATTTAACTAGAAATTGAGATTTTCCACCCAATTGTATCTAATTGAAAATTTGTAATAGTACATAGGGTGATTTGGTTCAATTGTATATTCAAGGGAGCAATGTGAGGAAAATATTTTTTGTGAGGTTTATAAGCTTTTTGATTTTACTATATGGTGCACGTGTGGCCTGTCTGAGCTCTAAAGGGTTCCTAAACTATTCACGCTTTCGAGTTAAATCAACGTGAGATCACTGTGCTGTAGGACGCTTTTATAATAAGAAAGAAAAGTACTTAAAAAAAAATGAAACTGAAAATGGAAAAAGAGGGAAAAAGAAAATACAGATCCCTCGAGGGTTTATTCAATTGTAGGGTTTAAGCTCTCTTGTGCTTTTCCACATTCTTGTCTTTACTCTAGCTTCAAATTTCTGTTTCTCTGATGCTTAAATCAAAGAGTTTGGATGCTGTAATTTCTCGGCAGCTGCCCATTTGCCGTCAATTTCTTGTTTCAAGTAAGAATTCGAAAACTCCCTGTTTTACTCTCTCTTTACTGGAATTTTAGCTGTAGAAATCATCAAAATTTT